ACAACAATGTAATTCCCAGGGGGCAAAAATTTTGGTTGAAGCAACACCTTAACATCAAATTTGTTTTTTTCCAGTTCTAATCTGCAATAGGTACATTTTTGAGTATGATTTTTACTTTGAGATATATATGTTTTTAATATTTTGTCACGTAACTTTCCATTTTCTCTTTCATAAACCTGTAATTTATCTAATGGTTTTGCTCAAATAAAGTTAAAATTATATCGGAAAAGCAAAATTGAACGTATTTGATTTTTAACACTGTCGTTAAAAAGATTGAATAACATTATCAATTTTTCACTGAATTCCATTTGCCATATTTTTAATTTGTATACATACGTATATTCTTCCATTGCTCATTTATCTCCCTTACCACGACTGTGTTGACTTTAACTTAGCTTTTGGGATGCGAATGTGTGTAAAACTAAATGTTCTCAAATACCATTGTATGTATGAAATTCACGAGGAACTAAAATCCAGTTGTTATAATTGAAAATAAAATTTGTTTGTTTGTTTTAGATTTTACGTCACATCGACACAGTGTAGGTCATATCGCGACGTTCCAGCTTTACTGGTGGAAGAAGACCGTGCATTATTTCAGGCACGAACGGGCACCTGAGTAGAACCACCGACGTTCCGTAAGTTAGTTGGATAGCTTCCTCACATGAAAGAATCCAAAGTCCCTGTCGGGATTCGAACCCACAGCGGTGAGGGGCACTGAAAATAAAAGACTCAATTTTTAATGGGCAAGCTTGTTTTGCAAGTTTACATGCAGGGTATATGGACAACGCCATGTTTGTTCTATTGTAATCGTGATGATTATTTACTCAGTAATAGTTTTCCAGCAAACGCATCGCTTTCAAAATTGTAAAATCTCGCCGATAATTGGCTATTTGAAAAATCACGAGAAGGTGATACGTATTGGTGATCGTCAGATCCTAATGCGTAGCGCTATTTACGAGCTGATTTTAATTAGATTGTCAACACCCCTATTTGTCAATTTTGATGTAAGCAGATAATTAAAGGAATGGCGAATTCGAGCTGTAATGAATTTGCGATTATACATCAACATCAGCGTACTTTATCATGTATTGATCCTGTACATGTCTTTAGTGGCGGCATGGCCGAGTGGACCGGCAGTATGGCCGAGTGGTTAACGCGTCAGACTAGAAATCTAATGATCACTAGCTGCATTGGTACCAACTTATCAGGGGCAAGTCGTTGTTTCCTTGAGCAGACATTGTTGGTTCCAGGAACGGATTATAAAGTGTGTCTATAAGCTTCTTACCCAATCGAACTTAAACAAAACAAGTATAAACCATATACATGTCCTTTATCAAGATGAAATAAAGTTATGAAATCAACAAAACTGTAATTTTAAGTAAATAAATAAAATACCATTTAGATTATTATAATAAGTAAAGAATGTACGATTAAACGGATTTTCATCGAATGTTGCCACAGAAAGAATTTAATTTTAAATTTCTTTTTAAAAGACACTGGTTTACAACACGTGTCTAACACATCTACAATGTAATTGAACGTAAAAATAGATGGTCTTATCTATACAGGATGTGTGCTATTTATGGAACATTTTATTAACAGTATACTAAAAGAGTGACACTATAACATACAGTGAAATGTTTGCAACAAGGATCTTTATTGCCATATTTCTATGCTGTGGCTCAGGTGAATATTTCTGTTAATACATTAATACTTGTTTCATAAACAACTATTCGTTTCATTAACATAATTGCGATAAGAAAATAATACTTATATTGTATACAAGTATAGAGAATTTAATGTCTTTATAGATTTAATGATCAACTAATTGTATGCATAAAATTTAACTTAAAATTATCGCATCAAAAATCCTTTCTTAGTGTAGTTCTGGCTTCCAAACTTAATAAGTCGCTTTCAATACTTTTGTTTTTCCATCTGATGTTGCATTAAAGTTTTGGATTAGACCCGTTACGAAACCTAACCAGAATAACCTAAGTTGATTTATTCTTGTTTTTCACTTGCAAATACAATTGACCCGATCAATTCTTGTGCATTTTACGGTAAAACAATTATTTAAATATCGTTCTATACCAATTCAAGTAATAAAATATTAATACCGTCATTAAAATTGCCTATTTAACTGTAAAACATCAATTTTCGCCGACTACAGTCGGCCATGACATTCAAGTGTCACGCGAGACCTCGTGTGACGTCATTCGCGGGAACAGATTTTAATAGAGTTGTGTACTATATTTAGAACATTTTGTTGACATGATTTCGATATTTTTATTCAAGATAATGTTTTTATTTATTTTCATAATTTTTTTAGTATTTAAATATAATTTTATTGAATATAACAGTCAGTAAATAACCTTTTTCAACATCTTAAAAAAAAGTAATCTATAAAAATATTGGAGGCACATGGGTTCATAAAGGTCAATCTCGTAATCACGTGGTCAAACATTTTGGCAATATGGCGGCCAAGTGCCGAATTTTTTACCTGTCGGAAACTATTAGGTAGTTTATGTTCCTAATAAGATTTTTATTTGTCCATCCTTGGCTTATCAACAGATTATATATCGTTTTATCAAGGTATGCTTCACTTTACTTCGTGGCATGTTCGATAAATAAATATGAGCGTGTCAGATTCCTGGCACGATTATTGGTGGACTTTCCCTACGGGGTTATCTTCAGCGTTCACGTCATGTCATATATATAAACGGGTACGCTGAAGACCTTAAGCTATTCTTAGTGTAGTAACGAAGTGTTCTTTAGAACTAACGTTTATGAAATCTTTGGTTTATTTCCTTTTGTTTAATTTAACACCATATTATCAGTTTTCTGTTAAATCTAGGCTCATTCTTTGAGAATTGAAATGTGTGTACACGTTTATATATCATATCATACATAAAGCATATAGTATGTCGTATGGTCTTTCATAGCGAATCGTAATGCATCTTTATATCAACGCATCATGTGATATTGCCTCATATCATATGATATCATATCACAAAGAGACAAAAGACGTTTTGTTTTGATCGATTGCATATACATGTATGATGATAATAAATGATTGCCAATACAAATGAGTTTTAATAATTCTAATGTTTAAGATTTGTTTACCTGTAACTTTTTTTCTATTTTAGCACATTCTTGCCTTTCCGGATGGTTGACACATGGGTCGAAATGTTATCATTTTAGTCACGACAAAGAAGAATGGGTTAATGCCGTGGTAAGTTAGATTGTATTGCTTGATTTCAGAAAGCCAGTGATTCTCAGAAGTCTCTGGCTCGCATTATGGCTAAATTTCTACACAGAATCTATTGCAGAAAATAGTAAACAAGTAAAAGGTAAAAAAGGGGAAATGGTGACACGGTGGTGAAGATGTTTGTTTCATATCCCATGGGTCGAAGGTTCGAGCCTTACTTTTAGGTCAAAACCATGACTCCTAATATGACAAAATTGTTGGGGTTTTTTCTCAGGAAATGGACGCAAGTTTGTTTCATAAGAGCTTAAATATTTCTTCCAGCTTACAGGACTTATGTTAATACTAAAACATATAATATGGCCGTAGCTAAGTGACTGTAAACCAAACAGAAATATATTAAATCAATATTTTTTACGTAAAACTCATTTACTAATGTGGTAATGTTCGGTGGCTATTTGTACGTATAACATTGAAATATACGCATTGTAATAGAATCAAACTACAATTGAAAAATTGAACAAATAATTTCAAAACCAATTTAATTGCTGCATTTGATTTGGTCAAATAAACCTTCAAAATTATGCATATAATAGTTTTACAAGTGCGTCTATAAATTTTAATTTGTTGAGACGTCAAGGGTATTACAGCAAATCTTATTTGTACTTTTCAGACAGTATGTCAAATACTCGGCGGTCATCTTGTTGAAATAGAAGACGTGAATGAGAACAATTACATTGTTGCGCAGGCAAAACTTGGGAACAGTAAGCATTGAGTTTTTCACTTTATTTATAATATTGTATAAAAGAGTCGTTTGAAATAAAAGTGGTACTAATCTAAAGTAGGTCTATAATAAAACATTGTTTAAAACTATAGTTTGTGTAACATTTTTCACGCCAAAAGAAACTCCGGGATGTATTTTGGTTTGACATTGTCCGCCCGTCGGTCCGTCAGTCAGCAATTGGTTTCCGCATTATAATTTTTGATTGATTGCAATTATTGACAGAGTTGTGTCCCATTTTTACGGATTTTTTAATGCAAAATTAAAGGTTTCTACAGGATAACTTTTGAATATGTTTATATTTGGCATGTAAGTAAATTAAATCGAGACACAGGTTTAGATTGATTTTCGCTACAATCAACCTATACATTTGAAATTAAAATAGCAAATTTTCCGTAAAATTATTGGTTTCCGAAGGTTAACTTTTAATGATTTATCTTGAAGGCATATATTTGTCCGTGATACCGTCTTTTGAATTTCCCAATCGGATGTATTATGCCCCGCTTCAGCGGAACTCTTGTTTGACTATGGAAATAAATACGACAATAGAAATAATAGATACCAAATTAAACAGGTAAGAAATAGTTTTGCACCCTGCAACTACATTAACGCAACAAAATTCGTTATTTACACACAAATAACCCGGAAGCACAGCAATATATTTTGAAACTTTACTTATGCAGAATCATACTGGATTGGGTTGAATGACCTTCAAGAAGAGAACACGTGGGTATGGGTTAACAACAATAAACATGCGACTTACACGGACTGGTACACAAATCAACCTGACAACAGCAGGAATAATGAAAACTGTGCTCTAATTGCTCAACCGTACGGTTACTTATGGAATGATGCATCGTGCTCTCTTTCTTTGAACTATATTTGCGAGTCAGAAGCAGAGTAAGAAGTTACATCTGATTACAGTGCAATCTCTGCAAACCCGCCCACTTAATTTAACATTAAAAGAAATCCCTTTAGTAAGATAACACTAATTAACCTCTAAATCAACACCATCTCTGAGCAACAACCAAAGTCTCTGCTTCCAAACAGCTGTTGCCAGGACAGGTTATACATACATGTATATTTATTGTATAATTATTATTTATGTAGATATTTCCAATTATTTATAACATAACAGTGGTGACAAAATATCAAATTTGTTCTACTACCTATACCAACAGATATTCATTCATTCATTAACAAGTATTGAATATGTAAATTTAATCAGTGTTTCTATTTTAGTTACAATTTTACCTTAAAAATTTCTTCCACTAATTTCTTACATACTCTACGAACGATCTTTTTGGAAACAAAGAACATACTTATATTTACTTTCAGAAACGTCGACATTGTAGGATGATATTTTGGATGTGTTTTTGTTTTGTCTTTGTATGATTTAATTGAGTTAAACGCATGAAAACCAATCAGATTTGTTTTATATTCCATGCGTTGAAAACGCAAAACTCACAAGCTTAATATGAAATATTGACGTTTTTTCATACCTTCAAGAAAGAAATATGTTTAGAACTATATATTTCTATCTGTTTGTAAACAAAAGAGTCCGTCATTTCGTTATATAAACTGACAAATTATTATCCAGCCATCGTCTTTTCTTTCAATGCAATTTTGTATCATCCATACATTAGGTGTTCAATAATGGGATATTTTGAGGTTTATATTTGTGAAACAAATTCACATTTGCATTCTTTTCAGTAACGAAATGTCAGTAATCAAAGGATAACATTTTAGAATATATGTAATGAAAACAAGAGATTGATTATAACATGACTTGATTATCTTTTATCTAAATAACCTCGTCAGTGCAGAACTTTTGATCAAAATTATTATGCATTATAGAATAAAGCAGCAAATTCTTTGCCTTAATTATAAACTTAATCGTGTTATTAAGCACGTTAACAGCAGACGGAAAATATTAATTTACCTTTAAAGAAATTGTCTAAAGCATTTCGAACACGATTTTTGTAAATGTTGTCTACTATTTATGTAAGGCTGAAACAGAACATTGATTGTCAAATTTGTAGTATACTGGCTCATTTTTTCTTAAAATTCAATATTTAATTTAAATCATCGCGGAAAAGTCAATTTTCTAATATCAATTTTATTAAAGGTATATATGTGAAAGAAATTTAACAACACTAAACAATATATAAGAACCAATAAAACATTTGAGATGTAAATTTTATGCTTCAAGATTTTCCTTTATGAATCTTTCTTGTCTGTCCTTATTCATCAACTCTAAAGATAATTCATGATATACTCCATTTGTACCATCTAATTACCATCTTATTGACACTAAACTACCTAAGGAAGCGAAGTAATGCAATGAACTGAAGACTTTAATGAAGTTTTCATTGTTTAGCACTGTGGATATAATTATCAAGAAACCGTTACTATTAAGTAGGAAATCTGGTTTGGTTTACAATGCTTAAGGCCACTTATATGGACCAATATGCTACACAGATAGAGGTCAGGTATAAGACAACTTTGCAAATAATGATGGTTTTTACTTTAATGATCTACATTTGAGTCCTTAAACATCTAAATTATCACTGAAGTAGTCCGGAAAGCAATTAGTCGTATGAACTGTAATAAAATTAAGCCACTTGGATTAATTTTTTTTTAAATTGTTTAAGTCAAATAAACATTGAACTGAATATCAGTGTTGCAATTAGTCTTATAGCCAATTTACTACAGTTAAAACACTGAAAAGATCATTTACTTTATGAGCATTTTAAAGAAACGGGAAATTGTTTACAAGTGTTACATGTATAACAAAGCGTGTCTAAAATTTGTCTTTTTTAACTATTTTCGGATGTTCCGGTTGCGTTGCAAGCACAACTTATGAGATTTTCATTTAGATTTCTAAAAATGAATATTTTACCTGGATTAATCTATAACGATTTAGGTCGTTATTCATTCTTGAAAGCGCTTTGATAGACCAAAAAGAAGGTCTTAGATTCTGTATATACGAATGCTTTTAGATGGCAAAATACTTATGAATATCAATACGAGGGTTGATCCAGATGTTCGTAGACTCGCTTCGTATTCTCAGGAATGTCACTGTGAAGTCATGTATGAAACATTGTAAACTTTTATAGAAAATTTCGACATATCGCTGGGCTTGAAACAGGGCATTGATATTTCACCAACTTTGTTCTTTCTCATTTGAGAAAATATTGAACTTTTTGTACACATTAATTTTTTTTTTTTTAATTGATTTGTGTTTAATTATTCTGCATTTTGCAGGCAGCATTTGGCTAAGTTCCAAAGGATTTATATGCAAATTTTAACAATTTATGAGTATGAATTCTACAGAAATGGATATACAAATGAAACAAAAATAATCGGCTAAGGAAAAGATGTCTTTATAAGGTAATGCATATCGGTATTTTAATGATGTTCTGTTAGAATCTGCTGACAATGTCAATCATCTAGGCGTAGTTTTAATTTGTTTGGGTCGTCAGATCAAACAAATAATGGTAGCGACCCTGATGCTGTTAATTACAAATGCCGAAAGTAGTCCGTTTTTTTAAAGCGGTTACTTCCCTTTATATGTACACTAACGCCAAAAAATTCAGGGGAGATCACTGCGTAAATATTGTCAAATGACAGGCGCATTAATGTTCAAGCAAAATAGTTCCCGAATGGTCGAAGATTTCTAATATTGTTTTATTCTTTATAGATATACATGCATATAGTAAGCTCCATGATTATTTAATTCTGTGTTAAACAACAGGCCTAGGTTTAGCGTCGAAATAATAAGAGTTACAAACCCTAATTTAAAATAATATGGTTTTCTTCAGGCCGTCACCATATAACTTCACCGTGGCCGAGGGGTTTGCACGCTCGCTTAGGAATCGAGAGGTCTGCAGTTCAAATCCCAGTTAAGACAACTAATTTTTTTAAAAAATTGTTTAAGTCAAATAAACATTGAACTGAATATTAGTGTTGCAATTAGTCTTATAGCCAATTTACTACAGTTAATACACTGAAAAGCATTGGTGGTATACAAAAACAAATTGGTTTATAATTTCACAACCTTCACCTTTCTGACATTCTAAGACCCAAACTTATTCAGCGCCTTCTGTGCTTTGATTAATTATACTGGGTCTTTTACTGTTTTTTTAAGGAATAATAATATGAAGAAACCTTTGTTATTGTGTTGCACATTTTTTACTCTTTTATTGGGGGTCAGTTCTAAAACAATAAAAATCTGGAAAAGGGGTGATCCCTCGAAAGTACAGAAAACATCAGTGTAATATGAAAATTGCAGGTTCGGTTTTAATGAATCTGTTCATGACACATAACATAAAAGTGCAACATCTCTCACGCTCCCTAGCACCGACTTTAGCGGTATTCAATTTTCAACACTAATGCGCTGGAATCTATGATCCCGAAAAGACCAGAAAAATATAACAACTATAAAGTGAAATACGAGGCAATTTATACAGCTATTTTATACCTTATCAAAGTTATAGATTTAAATAGGCAACAAAGATAGATTAACAGACTTAAAGATGGAATCGTTCAATGTCCTTTAATTTAAAAAATCCCGAAACTTGACTTGAATAACTATTGTTTTTCTCTCGCACAGAGTTAACAAAAAGTCACGTGGTATAGGCACCGTAAAAATGGTTAAAAATGCAGTTAGTGGTGTTTGTTTCGACGACACTTAAATATATTTCTAGAATATTGCTTTCATGTGGCATTTATTATTACTTGCTTTCAAGTAGTATAAATCATTTCTTCTTTCAAGTGGTATCATCGCCTTATTGTGAGTGAAAAATATCAGAGAGTTCCCAACTTCTAAAATGTAGTGCTTTTTTTCTTTGTTGAACCACATACATAAATCTAACACTTAAAATATTGTGTGGAAAGCAGTCTATAAACAACAACATGTGATAGAGGAGTATTTTAAGGACTGTGTTGGAACTTGTATCAACAACATAATTCATGAAATACTCAATGACATACGATAAACGAAACATATCCCATTAGGGTGTACAATTATAGTCTCAAACTCAGGAAGAGTAATAATATTTATAATTTTCATTCATTATCTAGTAAATTATTCAAATATACTGACAATTAATGCAAGTGTCTCTGTTTGATTACTCAAATGCGTTGTTGAATGTTGAAATATCGCTCCTTCGAAATAAAAGGATTAAATGGACAATAACAAGGAAAGAGGCATTAATATGTTTCTTGTAACCATTTTCTGTAAAATCTCTGCATTGTAAAGTAACAATTGCCTCAAATCTAAAAAGATATTTTTTCTTAACATAGGTCTTATGGTTACTAATTGGAAATCGATAGCGGCATTCGTATGTTTTCAGTCACAAGAGAATTTCGTGCAGAACGCGACAGATATAAAACTCTGAAACGGTTATATGTTCTTTATGTCCTAACAACTCTACTGTTACATATATATTTTTCTGTAATCTATGCTTTTTTAAATAAATCCTATAAAATTATCTATTACAACAAAAGACAAGAAAAGCATTGATGCAAAGCATCAAAGGGCGTCCAAGCAAGAAAAGCAGCAAGTGAAGATGAACTAGTAGACATATGATGACAAAATATTCTTATACACTTTTCAATGGTTAATTGGTTTTTACCAGAATTGTTTATCACTTATGAATGAGCGTGTTCATTATGAACTTTGATTGGCATGCTAGCTAGAGATTAGAAGATTACTTTTTATTTTTCTTTATGATCGTGGTTATTGATAGCAACGGATACAATTATTTATAATCCATATGTGTAACGCATGATCAACACGTACCACACCTTTGTAATTGTCCCTTATTATGTTATCTCTATTAGCGAAGACCCCCTATTAAGGTATCTGTTCACACTTAGTAAAAATATGACACTGGTTATATTAACATGTTGAGTATGTTGAGCATAATTGTTTATTATACAATAATTGTAATATCTATTAATTTTAATTAAAAAAAATATGAATATTGTTTTCTTTTCTTTTTTGTGTTTTATGTTCTATTTTAATACTGAGTTTTTATGTTTACGAGCGTACTACTCTTTTTTTTATTAAAATTGTAAAATAAATTTTAAGAATTCAATTGTCATATTGACTGACGATTATAAGTCAAAACTTAACTGGAAAAAGTCAGTAAATTATGGTTTATCTTTCAATATATAATATTGTTTATTCTTTATAAACCATGTACATGTACATTTGTATTTTTCTTTATCATTTTTTAAATTATCAATCAATTGAATAATTGATAAAATCTAATTTGTATTCCTCGGCATCTTTACTAAACACGGATAACAAATTAAATAAAATGTTTCAAAGTTGATAATATCATATTAATACCATAAAATGTACCCTTTTCTCAATTATTGTACATATTTATTGTTTTTATCTCATATAGATAAATGAAACATGCTATTGTTGTTTTTTTTTAATTGTAACGATATCAAACATCCACTCCAAAACCGGGAGAGACCGGACAATAAACGTGTGGTACTATTCGCCGGTCACTATAGACCGGGAGAGACCGGGAATTACCGATAGGAGTGATAAATAGATATATCTATACATAGATTTTCGGAATATTAAGGCCATCAACTGATCATTCTAGGATACATGTACAACAACAATAACATACCCTGATAACCCACTGTGTACTACAAAATGATAAATAAAAAACCCCGAAGAGCGCGATTTATTGACGGAAAAGGTTATTTCATTTGAAAATGTTTGCATTGCGAAATTCTCCAGTTCGCTATTCATTGCAACATATCGCGACATTTAATTCTTAATTAATAATCAAGCACCCTCATACCGATCGGAATTATCGGCTTTTATTATGACCGACTAAAAGGCTCGAGAAGTTGCTGTCGCCCTTTCACAAAATCTGATTTCATTCCATAAGAGCGCCGCGCTTCGGCGCGGACGCCAATAAATGAGGTCCAAATATATATAGCCTTTATTTCGACACTTGCTAATTAACAGAGATAAATTCATTTTTTCTATTGTCTAATACATCAACATCCACGGAAATATCAGGGACAGGTAAACAAATACTAAATCCCTGATGGAATTTCGTCTCAAGTTTAATATATATACTAACATAGTGGTGGTGGTGGTAGTTTCACACCGGATCATGACAGTAAGCCGCATTGAATTCACCAGAGCACAGTTCATCCACCGCATCGTTCTTTGGGCACGCTGTCGAGCAGTTTACCAGTGCTAAAGGCTGTCTCAATCAAAATGAAAATGATTTTTTTCCTAGTATGAATTAACAAACCGATTTAAATGTAAGACAAGTAAAACGGTTTCCTGCGGGGAACATTTTTAATGATATAAAGATATTCCATTTAACTATTTTCAACATTGTTTGGGGGGGGGGGAAATAAATAAACGCGCAGTTTTATCAGGAATATAGTTGACACTTATCGATCAAAATAGAAGAAGGTCTTTGGAAACTGGTTACCGTTGATGACCGGAGAAGGTCGAACATAAATCAATTATTTCTTTTTAAGAAAATGATTAAATAGGCCTACCATTTTATGAATAATTCCGAGCAAGAATAAGTAAATACACAAGTAAATAAATACACTGGTAATTTTCAAACACATCATTCAAGTTTTTTCACCTTAACCGGTAAAATAATTATAGAAAATTAGAAATATCACGTAATAGTTTTTTGTTCTCAATTAGGTGTCACTCTGACTAATTCCCTAGTGGTAAATCCGTAACGTACTGGCAAACGGTATTTAGCCAGGTTTTCGAGAAGGTCAATTAATCAATCATGTACGATTTACAGATCACATGCTCCTCCATGTACCGAAAACAGGTCACGTGCTCCTCCATGGCTCAAAAGTTAAACGCGTACCAATACCCTGCGGTCTGGAGGGAATAAACCATTTTCGTAAACTTAAAAAAGTCAACCTCGAGATTTTTCTCTAAAGTGTCTTCTTTTCTTGTAAAAGCAAAGTTTTATTTTTCTATGGAAAGTCTGTGTTGTTTATTTTAAAGTTGCCTTCGGTTTCGCTGTGATCTGTGTACTTATAACTTCATGGTGACCTGTAATATTTTTATATTACTTCCTCTCCGCAGAATGATTTACAAAGATTTATTTCGAATTTGGGAATTTTGTCTTATCATTTTTTTAAGATATATTTTTTTGTGATTTGTAACCTTCATTTTTATAACATTTCCAGGGGAAAATAGTTCTTAATTTAGTAGTTATAATCAAATAGTTATATTTATATTGCATGTAATAAATTGATTTTAAATGTCAACATAATTGTGTTCTAATTAATTTAGTTGCGCTCATTTTATATATGTCGCACTAAGTGATAAGAAACTTTTTCGACTGATCTGACTTTGAATTATACTAACATTCAAATTAACGAACGTTTATTAAAAATGAAAAGTAATTCCATTAAAAAACATTTTTTAAATCATATATATATAACTAGTATCAATTAAGCATATATTTGCTGATGATTACACGATTACAAACATTACTTATGGTCAAATACCAATGATACAGATTTACAGTGAGAAAATAACAGTTAACAATAAACAGTTTTATTTGTAAAGAGTTCAAGTTAAGATAGGAACAAATAACACTTATATTTTTCAATAAAAACAAGTTTAAATATACATATTCACCACATTTATAATTTACATGTGAACAATATTAATTTTACACTGTCAATACATTTTATGATTGGGCATAATTCTACAAAAGAATTTTTCATTGAAATATGGTCTACCATATAACCTTGACTTAATAACATTTTATTAATAATACAATAATAATAAATGGACTGACATAAATAATAGTGTTCTTTTTCAGATGTAAGACATGTTTCGCTCAAACAAATGTCTTAAAGTGATTACGGAAGAGAAGTAATTTTATGAGAATAAATCACTAAACCTCCTCACACCTCATTATGAACTCTTAAATATAAATTAGTTTACAGTTGATCCATAACCTGTCTGACAGCCTCTTAAACATAGACACAATTTTAAAAAGCGCTCGCTCATGCGCAAATTAAGAGGAGGGAGGTGAGGATAAGGTTACAGAGCATACGCCATGTGACTTTGTTTGGGTAGTATGTCAAACGCCTCTTAGAGTTGGATATCAAAATACGTTTTTATGAATAAAAAACACACACAAAATTAGTGAGTATTCGCCAAAAGAAACTCCTTTGGAAAACAAAATAAATGTAAACCCCCTCAAAACTATTTTGCTCCTTGTTAAATTTGTGCGACCCTTCATTCAATCCATTCCCCTTCCACTCACTCTTCCCCCCCCCCCCCCCGATTAAAAAATCTAGATCAGACGAGCGGTTGTCTAGTGGTTAAGGAGTCTGATCATGGGTTTGAGCCCTACCCGGGTTACGACCATGTTTCTTCATATGACACTAATACTGGTTGGTTTAAGGAAGCGGATTCGAAAGTGATTAAAATAAGTTGCAAGAACTTGTTTCGCAATCGAGCTAAAATAAATATGTTAAAACTAATCTGGATCAGCACCAGAAGCTGTTGTGGCAAGAAAGAACTAGTATGTTAGCTAACCAGCCCTTACAGAACAGATGTAAAGGGATATGGTTAACCGCTTGCTTGGATTATGTGATAAAAAGATTTACAGGTGCTCCCATGAGTTGAAGCATACGGCTTAAAGTGATCACAGTTATCGATTTTGAAATAAAACTGCTTAATAAATTTATAAGAAAGAAATCATGTGGTGGAACCTTGAATGAGATGTAACATAAAATGACTATTATTTATAACACACGTGGATCTTGTGCATAAACAAAATAAAATTTCCGGTGCAAAATATACTGTGGTTTAGAGGTCTTATCTGTTTAGCGATGATTTTGTGAATGCGCCATTTAATTGCTGAAAAGAAAATATACAAACATATTCCATCTATACAGGTATTTCGGAAGTGTTTTTTCTTCTTCTTTATCTTCATCTCATCTTCTTCTTCTTCAAGTTTCAAACACAAACTTTATAGTCGATATGCAAAAGTATTAGAGCTTTACAAAGATTTTATTGTATTAGTCTATCAATAGCATTGTTAATTTTACATTATTGCCCAACCGATGGTAGTGTAGAATATAAACCATCTACTTCGTGCAAACCACGCATGATAATAGTCTCCCATCAACATATGGTGGACACGGTAAAGAACCACATTTGCCTACTGCTGTCAAGTAGAATAGCTTTCCGTTCGCATTATGGGGATCTCCTATACCTTCCGGATTTTCATCAAGGCAAATGTATTCAGATGTCGCAGAATGTCTTGGATGCCCGGCTACAAGATAACCAGTGTATTCTGTTTTCCAGCCGACATAACACGAAGTCCTTCCAGGAATCATCAAAATGTTTGCACGTTCTACCCCGCAAACAGTACATGGCACATCATATCCATCTGGACCGATTTTATCTCCAAAAAATCCTTTATTTTCGGTACCTAGTAGATATTCTGACCCGTAAACAAAGGCGACACTAACATGCTTTTTTTCTATTTTCATCGCCTTCTCGCTCCATTGAGGATCTTTAGGTAGACACAAAGAATTAGCTGCGGCACCAGTATCTGTATAGAAAGATCCACCAGCGTATCCTATAATAGTTAATATTGGTCTGAATTCGTATTATATGTGTCTTAGTCAAAATATGGGTACAGCATGCCACATTAACAAGGTTTTGTTTGTTATTTTATACTTTTAATGATGTCAATCAATGTTTATTTTGAAACAGCAATGTTTGTTATGTAACCGAAACAAAATGACCCTTCAGAACTTGCATAAAATTGAAATAATCATGCAACATTTTGGGCTTATCACCAAAGCCTAGACAAAAAAGATAAATACAGAATCCCTAAAGAAAGCCCAACAAGGCATGGACGGCACTGGAAAGTGCAAGTTACCGTCCACCCCCCCTGGCACCGGCTTAAGCAGAATTCAACATTTAAACATGAAATATTAAAATTTTGAATTTAGAAACATCCGCAGATGTGTTCATACGGCGGTTATCATGGAACCTTCAATGTGACACTTCCGTGCCATTCTATGAAAAGCGGCGTATGGTACCCAAGTAATAAAAAGCGTGTGCCCTAAACGAGAAAACAATGAGCGGAATTAAATATAATGGAATTTTGAAAGGGGATCAGAGGTTATGAAGCCTGCGTATCACAGATAAGACGTCAAAAGACAAATTTAACAAGCAATTATCATAGTATTGCAAGCAATCCATACGTCCCCTACCGGTTAGAACCCAATCAACATTCTGTAGGGCCATTGGCCATTCACTAATGTTTCAATTTTTCTCTATTTTAAGAAAATTTGTTGGAAAAGTTCTTTAAAAGTGGTCACAGGAAACAGTTTCTATGAACAGACAGACAGACGGACTGAAGGACACTTTAAAGTTAATATTTGAAACATCCCTGTTACCAAAATATAACATTTTAAAAGCAAAATTCTTAAAGAGGAGATAACTCTTGAATTAAAGATGCAATTTCTTAAAAAATTTCCAGCTCTTTTTGAGTTATCACAAATATTGTTACATTTGCCATGTTTTAAGCCTATTTGTTTCCAAGGCAACTGATATTGTTTTCAAAATAGGAAGAACAGATAAGACATACATAATCTCAAGACTGCTATCTACTCATATGTCAAGTTTCATGAAAATATTTCAAATACTTTTTGAGTTATCACTGGATTCAGTTTATGTGTAAAATTTGCCATATTTTCAGCCTATGTGTTGCCATAGCAACCTGAATTTTTAAAGATATGAAGAAAAGAAAAAGACGTGCATAATCTCAAGACTGCCATCTACTCATATGTCAAGTTTCATAAAAATATTTCCAGTACTTTTTGCGTTATCACTGGATCCAGTTAATGTGTAAAATTTGCCATATTTTCAGCCTATTTGTTGCCATAGCAACCAGAATTTTCAACATAGGAAGAAAAGAAAAAGACGTGCATAATTTCAAGACTGCTATCTACCCATATGTCAAGTTTCATAAAAATATTTCCAGTACTTTTTGCGTTATCACTGGATCCAGTTAATGTGTAAAATTTGCCATATTTTCAGCCTATTTGTTGCCATAGCAACCAGAATTTTCAACATAGGAAGAAAAGAAAAAGACGTGCATAACCTCAAGACTGCCATCTAGCCATATGTCAAGTTTCATAAAAATATTTCCAGTAGTTTTTGCATTATCACTGGATCCAGTTTATGTGTAAAATTTGCCATATTTTCAGCCTATTTGTTGCCATAGCAACCACAATTTTCAACATAGGAAGAAAAGAAAAAGACGTGCATAAGCTCCATACTGCAATCTATCTGACAGACAGACGGACAGACGGACGGACGGAGGGTAAACCTAAAGTCCCCTCCGGTAAACCGGTAGGGGACTTAAAAGCAGGCAACATATCCTAAGGGTGATTCAACATTATTCAAGTAGGAATATTGGAACCACCCAACTAGAAAATGACGAAAAATGGAAACTAAAAATACCACAAGCACAACAATAATGTCGTGCTGAACGATCTTCAAGGATCGAAAATATAACATCATTGATTTAATGTACGGGGAGACTTTTTACAGCCGCCACCCGACTAAAGCCTAAAATTCAAATATCACTATTTGTATTGATAATATAAGACTTTTATGTATGGTACTATCAGTATACAATTCTTTTACATGTATTTTGAATAAGACAAAGGTTTCTCCTTTTAACTATAAAATGTTATATATCTTATGTTACCTTTATATATTGTCCATGAAGTGCCAGGACACGTTGTTCTTCCCCAACGCACGTAATTTCCTCCGTGCTGTAGAGATTCGTCATGCTCGTCCTCAGATTCTGTAACAGTTTCAGTATGAATCTTATTGAACAAAAAATTAAGAAAAAAAATAAATATATTAAAAATTTCTTTGTAATAATTTTGTTTCAACATTTTTTTTACCGCAATTTTACAAAGTCAGAGACTTTGTGAGTTATTTACCCCTTCATTTGACCCTTTTGAGTTATGTTCCGATTTCTATGTTACTTTTAACTATCCAGCACTAAGAAGAGTGGAGTGCGCTTTCCACGGCCAGGTTTATCAGCATAATTCTTAGCGATTGCTTAAAGGTGATTTGAAAAGAAAAAAGAATCAGGCGATTTCGTTATGAAAGAGGTTTGAATCACTTAAATTTATTCTTACAATATACACATGCATCTTTTCTCTCTTAGAAAAGTGTGTTACCTTTGTAAAATGATTTATGCATGCATTTTTTATCACAAGAATAAGATTATGAATACATGTACATTTGATAAGATAATTACAAGCATAAATATTCACTTACCCTCGCTTTCTCCAAACACTGAGTAAGCCCGAATTTTCAGAACTATCGTTTCTTCTTCTATGGCTTTGTGTAATTTTTCCAAACGTTTTATACTAGCTAGCGCCTGATCACCAGATGTATGACTTAAAACGAAAGTTGAATGCATTACCATCAAAAATGAAATAAGTAACTTGGTTGACATCTTCATTTTCTATTTTATTGCAAAGTTAGAGGAAGAAATGCATATTTTGTCTGTCGGATAGACAAAATGTTTATTTATATATATAAAACATTGTTCCTCTTTTCTCTTTTGAAATCTGGGCTACGATAATTATCAGTTACCATCACAAAAAAAAAACACAACGAAATAAAACAAACAAGAATATAGTCACAATAATGACAATAACTAAAATATGTAAAAACTTAAGGTTGAATGATACCTGTACAGCAATTTAAAGTGACCATTTGTCGCCATGGAACAATGGTTATGCACGAACAGTAAGTCTTGGTGGAGGGGGAATGGAAAGGCGTCTAACTAAATACAGTTTTAACGAAAAACTTAAAACGGACATTCGGGCCAGTACAATTCTTAAAGGGAATCCATTGAGGTTTTTCGACGTGATGGGACTGAATTTTTTTCTTCTCAAATCCGGCCAAGAATCTCACAAAAAATCAATTTATATTAATTTCTGAGTAGTTTTCTTAATTATCGTTTGCAGATTATATTATTTTAAGTGCTTCATTTGATCTTTGAAAGATTTTAGGCCTTTGGACCTCAGTGGAGTTCCTTAAATATTACTGGACCGATCCTAAGCCGGACCAAACATATGGACCTTAATTCTTTTGGAAACAAAAATTTGTTATATTTAAAAAAAATAGAGGAAAACATTATCATGATCTGGAAAATTTTGAATTGAAGCACTTTATTTCCTACAATCTGGGTCATATGTTAGCAGCTTTGAACAATTAAGAAGGGTCCATTGTTTAGGCATAATTGTATTAAAGAAATTTTGATAAACTACCTTTAGTTTATTATTTTAGATGTATACTGACTGTAGAATTAAATATAAACAGCACTAAATCATTTATTGACAAGAAGTTTTTAACTAGCAGTTTTACTACAACTTATAACATAATATGTAAAACCTACTCAGGCGGAATATATTTAGGTTTAGTCATTGACCGAGGGAGCAACGTTTTCTAATGTAAGATCTGTCCAAAATATAATAATGATTCTTAAATCAATGGGGAAATAAAAGAAATAGCTACACATAATTTCATAGTTTTGCTATTCCACAATACATTATAGGGCTTTTGCAGTGTAGTACAGTACACTTTGTTAC